TAGAAATGGAATGTGAAGGGAACGTCTTAGTGGACATTTCTAACAGCTTTTATTTATTGTAATCCACCCTGAATACTAAGTTTACAAACTCATTTTTATCAAATACCTTTTGTAGACTTAATCAAGATGATGATTAAGGGTAATTGAATTAAATATCATCCCTAATGAGGTTATAGAAAATTTGTTTTCATCATTATAAATCATTCAGGCGGCGGTTCGTAGACTGTTATTGATTAGTTTCGTAATAACAGTATCCGACGTAATTTGGTTCTATTAAGAAATATTACATTTACATGGATAGTAAACGGTCCCATGTGGTGCTTCAGAGCAATCAGATGTTTTCGGGTAAAATGCAGCGAAACTCAACAAGCTACGTAATTTCCAAAGGGAATATTTAAAAGCGTATTTAAGGCAATGCAGCCGGAAATTTCGTTTCGTGCCTTTCAAAAGACTTCCAATTGCGAATTATTATTGAACAACTCTCAACCCAGAGCCGTACCAAGCTGCCCTTTCATCTGAAGTAATTGCATTATGATGAAAATTGTCTATTGAAAATTGGAAACAAGCGTCCAATTGGCGATTGCAAAAAGTCAAAGACGAATACTCTGACTTTCCCAAGTTAATAATTAAAATATTAATGTGAAAATTCATTTTCAATTTCTTACCCACTATAAAGTACCGTAAATGTGTGTGTACGAGAGTGGGACAACAACAACAAGCTTTCTCGCATTAACCTGAGGTAATTTATCATCATCAGAATAGGGTCATCAGTCCTAAGACTGGTTGAACACGTACTTCCACTCTTTCCTATTCTGAGCTAAACTTCGCATTTTCTTAAAACTAGAACAGCCCACATCCTTAACTATCTGCGAACAGTAATCTAATCTAGGTCTAACTCTACCCCTCCTAACTCCGGTTTCTGCCTCTAATATGTTTCTGACTAGACCTTCATGTCTGAGAAGGTGTCCTACCAACCTATCGCCTGTTTTTTATTGACTTCCATTCCTCTGTTCTCCTATTCTTTCCAATACCTCTTCATTTCTAACCTTTTCTACCCACGTTATCCTCATCATTCGCCTATAACACCTCATTTCGAAGGCTTCTAACCTTTTCTTTTCCGCCGCGCCCACTGTCCATGTTTCGCACCCGTACAACGCCGCGCTCCAAACAGACACATATAACAACCTTTTTCGAATTTCTAAATTAACCGTTCGCCAGCATAGAAGTGACTTCTTTTTATTAAAGGCGACACGACCCTGCGCTATCCTCTGCTTTATATCCCTACTACTCCTTCCATCCTCACTTATCTGACTTCCTAGGTATCTAAAATCAGTCACTTCTTCTAATTTTTCGTCTCCTATCTTTATATTCGCTCTTTCCCTACTTTTTCTTCCCTTGCATATCAGTATTTTAGTTTTACTTTTATTTATTTTCATACAGTTCTGATCTGTCAGTACCGCTTCCATTTTATTTAAAGCTATCTCTAGGTCCTCCTTGCTAGATGCTAATACTGCTATATCATCTGCAAATCTAAGCATACTAATCTTTTTCCCCTGTATATCTATCCCTCCGGTTGCACTGTCTTTAATGATGTTGATCGCGTCTTCGATGTATAGATTAAAAAGTAGCGGTGACAGTGTCCATCCCTGCCTGACTCCCCTCCTAATATTTACTTCTCTACGTTGCATCCCTAGCTCTATAACTGCATGTTGCTCTTTATACAAACTAAGTATCACTCTTCTTTCTTTGTAACTCATCCCTACATTTTTAAGTATATTTAACATCTTGACCCATTTAACATTGTCAAAAGCTTTTTCTAAATCTACAAATCCTATGTACGCACTCTTTCCTTTTTCTATCGTTTTCTCTATTGTTACCCGTGAAGCTAGAATGGCCTCCCGCGTTCCTCTATTTCTTCTAAACCCAAATTGGTAAGGTAATTTGTAGTGGGTAAGAAATTGAAAATGAATTTTCACATTAATATCACACATATATCTACATACGTATTAATACATGTGACGGTTGTCCAAAAATTGTACTTTCCATTATTCCAAATTTAAAAAAGCATTTCGGTTTTATCGCCTTCGGCGATCCGACCTTTCAGTAGGTAAATTTACAATTTTACTTATATTACATTTTATGTTTTCAAGAAAGAATTGCAATATACCAAAAACGTAGAATAACTATTATTTATATGAAAGAACAATCCATTCGAAGTATATTCCCTGTGCGTATGTTAGAATTTATTGAAGGTATTATATTTGTCAGCTAGACTATTGGAACGTTTCCAACTGGTCCATGCAGCATAGACGACAGCCGTGGAATTAATCGCACCACGGTCTGTAATAGACGCAGTAATGCAGTAACTACTGAGCATTTGATCATAAATCAAACTAAAGGAGCCTGCGGCACCTAAAGTGATGAGTAAGAAAAATTCAAGACTGGAATGCATTTCCAGATTTTCAAGCAAGTTAAATGGGTAATGATACTAGCTAAACTTTCTGAAAAATCATAATAATGTTTACTTCAGAAATGAATGGAAAGAAAAATGATGATAAAAATATTTAATACCTTCAGATTATCTGACATTAAATTTTCGCTTCTCTGTTTGAATTAAAATTAGATCTATAATGACCAACAAAACAAATAGAAATTTTTGCAGTATCAAACATTTTGAAATTGCATCAAGTTTTTGGGTTTTCCGTTTAATTTTAAAAATTCAAACCATAAAGATGTTGGAGTTTCAAATAAACAGCTAAAGATTTATTCTGCAATAGCCAAGATAAAACAACGTATACTTCATTTATTTTCTGTAGCGATGTGCCCCTTCCAATGTCTTGGATGCGCGCTGGCAAAATCGTAGATAGGGAGAAAAAAGCTCATTATACTCTCGACTCTTGTTCATTAAACATACTTTTTCATACAGTAACTGCCAAAAGTTTTGTTCAATCATGAATAGTAGTGCGAGTCGAAAACAAGCGTTAAAGCCTTTAATGTCTTCAAATATAAATAAACATCTCGTTGATATTTTCAGTAGTAAATGGTACCAATAACAGCACATTTGAGCAATGGAATTGTAGTAAATAAAATGGTCAATTTTTCCGTGCAGTACTGTACGGATTATACGCTCCTCATCGGTTAAGAGTTTGGCCGAGAGTTGTCTCCTTCCTTTTCTGGCCTAGTGCTGTTCTTTTCTACTTTGCGCCGATCAAACTGAAGGACACATCGCTACAGAAAGTAAACGAAGTATACCAGACAATAAGTGGTTCCCTCAATAAAGTTCTATTTATTTGTCGATTATTTTCAAAGCTATAAAGCAATCGGTAAGACAGAAATACAATTGGAAAACTGCCACAGACAAGAAAATATCGCACTTACATAATTTTGCACATCCAGAAGTCATAAATTTTGTATATACGATACAATACGTATTCACGTTTAAATTATATAATTGTAGACTAAAATATGTTACTACGTGCCAATACACGAATTAAGTACAAACAAAATATTTGAAAATTTAAAATAAATTGAAAATTAATACATCAACTTAAACATATTTAGTTTCTTTTAATGTCTGGTTTTTTAAAATAATAGTTTCTTCCAGAATCAAAATCTTTTGTTTCGATTTCGAGAAGGGTTTCGTTTGTGCCTATGCGTGAAAATAGTGTTGATAGCACTGTAATAAATTTCAAGATTAAATGTGTACACAAATTGGTGAGGGTTGATAGCAAGAAGGCTGTCTTAAAGTTATGTATTGTGATGTGTAGGTCCATCGAAAACTCAAATTTTATTGCCCCATAAATGTTTAAACTTTTACTCGAAAATAGGTCAGATGGTGAAATCTGAGACTATTGTGTCTACCAGAGCGACCCCCATTTGTAATAACCAATGAAGCTTGTCATCCATAATATTTAGGAAGAGACTCCTACACTCCATCCCCTTTATTTCCATATTCAAGTTAATTAAGTTGTAGTTTTTCGTTTTCTAAGAGAGATCATATAATTTAAAGACAGATCACATAATGCAGAAACAGCTAAGACAGTTTCATACAAACAGGTTCGATGTACATAATCCATAGTGTAAATTAAAGTGTACAGTAGATGTAACTTCAATACAAAATTCAAAACTAATTAAACGTCTATGCGTTGTTATCTCAATAACAAATAGCACCGCTAATTAGTTTTGGTAATTCCGCTTTATTCTCCACTACTAATAGCAAGATATTGTCTGATACGCGCCCTTACAAGGCTAAACCCTCCCAAATAATTATCTTATTTTACTATTTTCCGAATAAATATACCACTACTCATGCTGGTAGCTGGTAGGCAGCAAGTCCCCTTTTCAGGAAACGCGGGAATGACTGCTGCTTGATGGTTAAAGAGTAACAGATTAGACGGAGGAAATGAAGATAAAATAGGAACGAAAGATTATCTGTGGAATACTTAGTGCCCCAGCATTAACCTTAATGACCTAAGCCCTAGATATCTGAACCGCTAGAGAACATTTTTGGTCAGTCCGTCTATACATGTTAAAGTTGATTACCTTAGCAATTGCCAATATCTATTAATAATTTATTGCAATCATAAAATGGATGAACATCATAAATACTTTTGGATTTATTACTAAAATTCACATCACCCTTGGCACTATAAACTGACAAAAATCTAAAATAATTCACGCAAAACAATGTTTCTCGCATTTAGGATTTCTGAGAAAATAGTAATCCTTGCCTTGTTCTTGAAGATTGTCAAAAGAAAAATAATAAAGTCAAAACTTTGCATTAATATGACTTATAATAGTACAACAAGTGATTCGACTGTGTAAGACCAAATCAAGACCAAGCAAATTTTAACATTAGTTTTAGTTAAAAAAATATTTTCATTTAATAATTACAAGTGTTTAGATGCATAAATTAATGGCGTCTTTTTTCATAAAAAAAATTATGATCTTAGTCTCGATCTTACTTTTGCAAATCGTTAAATATTAATCTATCAACGTACTTTTTTACTTCTTCGCTAGTTATCCTGTCTTGTTTCGGTGTGATTACGTGATAAACGTGATCGTTGATGACAAGTTTGAAATCGTTTTCGAGAAGACTTTCTATTGAATCGGACGAGGCTATCCGGGTACCGTCGAGAGTTAATGTGACGGCCCGATCTATTCCTTTGTCTTCCTTCTTTAACATCTGAAGGAAATCGCCGACTGTGTTGGAAATCGGTTTGAGAGTGAATCGACATCTCTCCCTGCGACTAGGTAACGGAACAGTGACTTGAGGAAGACCGCGATGATACTCTACTGTAACGTCTGAAACAAAAGACAATCAACATTTAAATATAAATAAAAAACAAACAAAACGCTACAATAAAAAGAAAGTAACACTGTAGTAGAACAATTACTAGAATATCTATGAAAGGGCAAGCGGGTTGAATAGATGATCCATGGTATTATACTAGATGTGTTAGAATAATTAAAAAATCGATGAGTACAATCCTCTACAAAGTTAGAAAAGGTCACTTTTGTATCATTGCATACATGATAAAAGTGTGACGTTTGACCACCTGGATGACCGCGATCCCATCAATTCTTTTTAACAAAACATTCAGGGTAAATTTTTGTTAATGTAAGGTCAGTTACGACTAAAGGATTTAAAAAACAAAGAAAAAAAGTGTGAGAAGAGAGGGCGCTGGCAAATCCCAAATGAACCCCAAATAATTCAAATCTAAACACTGAAAAAATATATTTACAGTTAGAAATTTATCATATCGTAATCATGCAAAATACGACTATTCCTTTAAGGACGCTTGAAAACATAAATTTTCATACAAATATTTAATAAAAATTCACAATTAAAATTTGTTTAAGTTGAATGGATAACACGGAAAATGGTGGGATCGTGGTCATCTAGATGGTCTAAGGTCTTACATCTATACATGCAATGGAATAGAAAAATAACTTTTCCAACTTTATAGAAAATTGTATGCATCTACTATTCTAGCATATCACCATGGGCAATCGATTGAACCCACATCAAACCTTCGACAAAAATTGCTATGGCGTCTTGCCCTTTCGTCTTCCATTAATATATCATTATCGATAATGCTGTAGATACGAACATAAAAATAGAAAAAAATTATTAAGTTAGTTTAGGTATTCACTTATTAATAAGTACTTTGTTGTAAAAAATTACAAAAGGGAAAATCATAAATTTCACTAGGATAACAGAAACAATATTTTGCAAGCAAAGAGACTCAACACTTAACAAAACCTTGTTTTCATTTTAAAAGCTTTCTTTCATCCAACTGAGAAGAATAATAAGGATAATTGTCTCTTTCGTCAATCAGTTTACAATTCTAAAAAATTTGAATTACAAATTCAAGTGCACAGTTTCACTTTTAACATATTGTAAACATACTTTTCAATATGCTATTGCAATATGTTGTTTGAATAGCAAACAGTACTTCCTTATCAAAATTCATTTATGCGATACGAAAAATGACAATATGAGGCATCAAAATTTCACATGATTTTTTTATATGATAGGTACATTAGCATTATTTCTCTTTCGATGGTGACAAGTGACAAGTGCAAATCCGAAAATTTAGTATACAACCTTAAAATATGCAAAAAAGTGTTGAATGATTTTAAAGGTAAATGGGAACAGCGGACGAAAAAAATTACAGCACTCCATCTCCATCGAAAGAGTCCTGACGATTTCGACAGATCACTAACCATGAAGTTATATTAATTTCTGTAACATTCACAATTTTATCATTAGGCCAAGTTTCAAATTTATTTTTCGTCTCGTAATTCTTTTTCAAGCAAATATTCCAAAAGTTCTATGACTAAAGAGCCTTTAACTGTAAAACTCTCTCGTAAAAGAAAATTTGATTTATAATATAATCACCCAAACATTTTGACTCTAAATCTGTTTATAAAGACCCGATTTTCCTATAAATCCGGTCAATATTCTTATGCAAAAATGAGTGAAATAGTTAGGTAAGGATTTATTACTATGATTTAATTCAGTGCTTAAACATTATTTGAAATTATACCAAAGTTCGTTTTAATTTTAAAACAACCAGAAGTTCTTGAAGAATTTGAGTCCTAATTAATTTCAAGACAACCAGAAATTTTCCAAAATTTGCGTCCAATTAATGTCTTTGAATATTTATTTCTCGTCTCAAATTTCAACCTTAAATGTGTCATCTCGATAGCTATTAAGCAGTATGTCATCATCAGGTCGTCAATCCTAAGACTGGTTGGGCACGCACCTTCACTCATTCCTATCCTGAGCTAATCTTCGCATTTCCCCAAAACTAGAACAATATCTTTAACCATTTGCGAACAAAAATCTAATCTAGGCCTACCTCTACCCCTCCTCTCTACCATTTTTGCCTCTAATATGTCTCTGACTAGACCTTCATGCCTGAGAAGGTGTCCTACTAACCTATCTCGCATATTTATTATTGACTTTCACGATATCCTCATCATTCGCCTGTAATACCACATTTCGAACGCTCTAATCTTTTCTATTCCGCCTCACCCACCGTACATGTTTTGCACCCGTACAGCGCCGTGCTCCAAACATACACCTTTAACAATCTTTTTCGAATTTCTAAATTAATCGTTCGCGAGCATAGAAGTCACTTCTTTTTATTGAAGGCGATTCGACCTTGCGCTATCCTCTGCTTTATTACCTGTTACTTCTTCCGTTCTGACTTATCTGACTCGCTAGATACTTAAAATCGGCCAATTCTTGTAATTATTCGTCTCCTAGGTTTATATTCGTTCTTTCCCTACTTTTTCTTCCCTTGCATACCAGTATTTTTGTTTTATTTAAACAGTATGTATTGAAGATTTTAATTATGCATTTACAACCTGCCAAATACGTAGTCCATTGAAAGGCAAACCAACATATACATCTTCATTTAATTCTACGTCGGAAATTAAATTTGAGACCTCTTTGAAGAAAGCGGTTTTCGATTTTCATTTGTTAAAAACCCCGTTACCCGAAACGCTTAAATCAAATATTACTTCATTCTTTCCACCTTTAATTAAAATGTAAATGAATCTGTCGCCGTAAAAATACTGAAGCAATAAAATTTCATTGCCATAACTCACATTATCAGTATTTACGACTATCGCTCGTTGTTGTATACAATCTGTTAAATTGGAAAGAAACACGCAGCTAAGATATTGTACACAAAATAAAAAATATAAGACGTTAGAAACAAAATATTGATAAATAATTAAGAATTACTTTTTATGGAAAACTTGGATAAGATTGTAATTGTTTTGTTAACACAATGCAATATAACTATTATTTAGGTTGACCATGCTAAGATATCGAAAATCAGCGACTTGAGGTGTTTCATTCCCACTAGCCAGTAATGCTGGTGGGCGGGCAGTTCCTCCGGACTATGCCGGAAGGTAGGGCGGAAGGCCCTCTTCAGCCTGCTTTCAGGAATCATTGGAATGGGTGGATAGTGGTTCGGGTGAGAAAGATGAGACGGACGAAATGAAGACAGAAGAGAATGAAAGATTATCTGTGGAATATTACTGCCTCAGCATTTGCCTAAGTGATCCAAGGAAACCACAGAAAAACTTAGACCAAGGCAGACGGACCCGGAATCAAACTGGCGTCCTCCCGAATGCTAAGCAATGGTCCAGACCTCTAGGCCATTCCGCTCGGTTCTAAAATTAGAACAACCCATATCCTTATCTATTTGCGAACAGTAATCTAATCTAGGTCTACATCTTCCCCTCCTAACTTCCGTTTCTGCCTCTAATATGTGTCTGACTAGACCTTCATGCCTGAGAAGGTGTCCTACCAACCTATCTCGCCCATTTCTTATTGACTTCCATAGAGTCCCCTGTTCTCCTATTCTTTCTAATACCTTTTTATTTCTAACCTTCTCTATCCACGGTATCCTCATCATTCGACTGTAACACCACATTTCGAACGCTTGTTTCGCACCCGTACAGCGCCGCGCTCCAAAAAATACACCTTTAACAACCATTTTCAAATTTCTAGATAAACCTTTCGCGAACATAGAAGTGACTTCTTTATATTGAAGGTGACTCGACCCTGCGCTATCCTCCGCTTTATATCCTTACTACTTCTTCTATCCTGACTTATCTGATTTCCTAAAAAATCTAAAATCAGCCACTTCTTCTAATTTTTCGTCTCCTATTTTTACATTCGTTCTTTCCCTACTTTTTCTTCCCTTACATACCAGTATTTTTGTTTTACTTTTATTTATTTTCATGGAGTACTGTTTTATTATTGTTAGTTTAACAAAAATTTGTAATAATTTACTTATGATCATTTGAAACGTTGCCAGTTATTGTAAATTACTATTTTAATCTGTTGTCATATTAATTAGAACTGGCCCCTTTTCTTCCATATACCATCAACGCATATGCTTTCTTCCGTAATAATAATGCAGATAATTAATTAGCAGGGAAACACCGTTCGTAAACCAACTAGAGTATGACTGATATTAAGCAAGAAATTATTTATGTGATGATGTTGCACACTAGGTACGTTCCATTTTAATGAACGAAAAATCATAAGCAACGCGTGTGCATAGGTCAGGTAATAGAAAGAATGCATCGTTAATTGGGACCGCAAAACCATTAGACCATTCATTAGGAGCAATAAGGAAATAATTAACACAAGGTGGGTTACATTATAGCATTAATTTTTTTTAAATTTCGTTCTTTCTTCCATACAATCAATTAAAAATTACTAGTTGGCTACCGAATATTTATCAGCATGAAGGTGCTTTTGCTTTACTTTATCTATTAAATCTTTTAAGAAGAAATTTCTAGTCGAAATTTATAAAAGAAATACTACTTTGTATGAGGGTGTAAAGGGCAACTATCAGAAGCATAATATATTGACCAAGAACTAAGTACAGTAAAAGCTCTTTATTCGTGGGGTATACGTTCCATAAATATGCACCGAATACAAAAACCGTGGATATGGAATGGTAATTAGTATGGAATCATAAGGAATACATTTTAAGGTTCCAAAATAAAACCAATATGTATCAAAATAAAATCAATCTTTTGAGAAATTCGCAATTAAAATTAATAGTACAGTACGTACTCAAGAGATGCCGATACATTAAGGTGATTCAGTAGTACACGCGCCATAGAGTAAAAACATGCTTATCGGTTCTAGATATCATGAGTTTAATGTTTGGAACAGGGCTTTGAAATTTTGTAGTAAGATAGATAAAGCTATGTTCTAAAGCCTGTCGAAGGCCATTTTTTAATTTTTTAATTTCTATTGAAAA